TCTTATTTGCTCTCTACTACATTCTACAATTTACTTTGATCTAGCTAAATAACTCACCCAAAAGACAAAAATGCATTTAAAAAATAATAATAATAATTTTCACATGAGAGTACTATCTTTCTAACATTTGTTTTATTGGTTCCCAAATTTTTTCAAATTTCCCTAGTCCCAGTCATAGTCTTGCATTAAATTGTTCCATTTTGTAGACCTGTCTAACTCGGTCTCTCCACTGTGCCACCCTTGGGGGTTCTGTGTCCAGCCATAAAACTGTAATACACTTCTTGGCAGTCATAAGCAGAATTCTGATTACGTATGTCTCCATTATGTGTGTATGATTTTTGGTACAGCATTCCCAGTACAAACCATTTTAACTTAAATTGTAATTTCACCTTCAAGGTTCTTTCAATTTCTCCCTAACACCTTCCCAGAATGGTATGAATTTAGGGCAGTCCAAAAGTATATGTGAAAAGTGTCCCACTAGCCCTCATTTTCTACAACATAAATTTGAAACATTACTATTTAGACATGATAAGTGGAGTTTTAAAGCATGCATCTTCACCTTCCATTCAAATTCCCTCCAAGATGGACTATTAGTTAGTTTATGGCCTGCTTCAAGTGTTTCCTCCCATTCCTCATCTGTTATCATTATGTTCACTTCCAGTTCCCATTTTTCTTTAATATCTATATTCTTAACAATCAAATCCTGTTGTAAAGCTTTATATATTTTAAAATCAGTCCTTTTTGACATGTCCTTTCTGTTTAACATAATCACTTCCTCCATATTAAGTTTATCCTTGCTTGAAACTTTGCCTTATTTTGAAATAACTACTCTGTCTGTCTGTCCTAAATAACATATTAAGCATGAAATTACGAATTATTGTGAAATTACACGCACAGGAAGTGCTTTTATTTTGTAGCATTTGCTCAGTCAGCTCTCGAAGCTTCTCAGCAGACGGAGAAGAAGAGGAGGGTTGGAGGTGCATTAACCGTCGGAGGTCGCGCTTCTGTTCTGCACTTGACAGTCACTGGTTCTGCACCACTGAGCTAAATGTAAGTAGCCGCCATAAAAGTTGCTTAAATGTTTTTAAGACGGACATGGTGAGTAATGTTGGTCATGTAGCAAGCTAATATGCTAAGTCATTGCATGAGTTAGCTGTGTTATTAACTTTGTGTGCGACTAAAGTCCGTTTATTAAATGAAACGAGCAGCGCTATCTCATTATTAAAGGTTAGCTTTACTTTAGATACTTTTTTATTAGACTTCTAGAGACTTATTCCCTCCATTTTTGTCCTCCCCCCATCATAATTTTTTAAACATGACGTTCTGAGAAAAAAATAAAAGCGGGAGCTCAGCGCCACCAAGTCAAACTTAAACGTCCACTTATTAAAAGTAAATGAGCAGTGGTCTCTTGTACAGCGATGAAAAAATCAGTCTGTCTTGTAAACTATTTCCCTGTAGCACCCGTGCGATAGCTTTGCAAGCAGCCTGCTTTTTTTAACCGTAGAAGAGGATTGTGACCGCAAGAGATGAAGCGGTGCTGTATCTCGATGCTATGTTCCCTCCTTCCCTCCATTTTTGTCCCCTCCATAGTTTTTTTAAATAGTGCTCAGTTGCACATATCTTGAACCGCAGAACACTGTTTCTATTAATTTCACAGTATTTTAGTGTTGTAATTTTGTCCTTACTGTACACTGTTACTCCAGATTCTTAAATGTTTTTAGCTTTGTGTGGATAAGTCAAATTACACTTGAATCTCCTCACACACACACACACTAGGGGTTGTACGAACTAGTCGACTAGTCGACTTCACGGCTCTGTAGTGACTTTTTATGCCTGTCATCAACTAGTCGCTGTCACGTGATAATGACTGACAAGATGCAGTCCTCGGAAAAGACAGCAGGTGTTGAGCCCCTGCGCGTCTGGATCGAGGCGGAGGCGACGCGCTGTGCGGTACTGACACCGGCGGTAAAACGGACATTTAACCAAACTGTGACCTTTTCCCTCTTGCAATTTAACCTTCCCCTCACCCCCATCCTAATCTTAACCAGTTTGTGCATGCAAAGCTCTGATCACTGACGTGCGCTCCAGACATTGCGTCCTGAGCACCGCCAAATCAGGTGTCACCACCTCAAAAACAAATTAAACACGCAATCGTTCATGTCGGCTCATTTCCTTTCATGTTTTCTGTCTGTTATTTGTGCCTGATGCATTTCGCTGCTGCGGAGCGATGCGCATCACCTGTTGTCCTCCGGTGACGCGCCCCCAAGATTCCACTATCTCCACTCCGCTCCGCTCCGGCATGAACTCCGCAGCAAAAACGGTCCCGTTGTAGTCGGCCGGCGAGCAGCGGCACTCCGCTGTTTTTGTGGTCGGTAGATCTTTTAGAACTGCAGTTCAAAGGTAACTCATAAGGTGAATATATATGAAGGCAGGTTGCAGTTTTTCTTTAGGACTGAGAGGAGATGCAGGAAGATAATAAACAGGCAGGACAGAAAAATAGTCAAATAAAAACAAGCTAGTTTTTGTACCTGGTGGTTGCAACAAACAGACACCACTGAAGGTAATCAGAAGTGAGGAACAGAAAATGAAATAATTATTTTAATGTTTAGAGCAGCAGGAAAGGCTGCAGGCGCATCAGTGAGTTTGCGGCTGCTGTGCAGGGGGAGGGGGGAGATGACTGAAGTAGGATGCAGAAACTACCGTTGTTAAAAGAGATGTGTTAACTTAGAAAATGTGGGCGCAATTTTAATTGTCAAAAACTCCAGCGAACCTACCGACCGACCCCCCCCCCGCCGCTTCCGGCGTATGACGTCATCAACGACTAGTCGAAGTCGACTCGACTTTCATTACTTGACTGTCGACTTTAAAAAAAATAAAGTCGTGCAGGCCCTAACACACACACACATAATTTAGATGATTAATGATTTAGCTTCATATATAGTGGAGGACTGCCTAAATTTTGCAGACTAACACAGATCTACCTTGTGATTCACAATGTTTGTTTTCTCTACTGATTATGCTTCCTGGTGCAGATGTGTAAATGTAGAGCATCTGCGTTCCTATGAGCTGTCAGCCACACCGGGAAGCCTGTCTATGAATCTGCAGTCAGACTTCAATGATCCAACCCCACTCTCTGCACACAAGGTTGATGGCATGCTGCTGTTGACCCCCAAGAGGTTCATACAAGTGAGACCACTGGTGAGTAATTCTCACAATCTGCATTTTTGATGGCACATCCTAAATAACATGACTATATATGTATGTATGTATGTATGTATACAGATTTGTCTTTTAAAACTGGTGAATATACAATTTACAGGTAATGCCTTTTAGGGCTGCAACAAACGATTATTTGGATAATCGATTAATCGGATGGGGTCTCGACACGATTAATCGATTAATCGGATTACATAGGGACATTTTTAAAAACTGCTAGGGAAACGTTATTTTTCTCCTTCCTTCACTTTATTAAACACAGCATTATTAGAAAACAGTTCAATAGCAGAAAAACAACATGCCATCACCTAAATTGTCTTATAAGGTGTATAGACAGAGACCCTAAGCTACACCTATCTGTGACCTAAAATGCTTGGTCCAAGTTAAACAGCTTAAAGAGCAAGTCAACCCCTACCAGAGTAAAACTCCACTTCTGCTTTATGTTTGAAAAATGCAACACATGCTGTTGCCTGGCAGACCGAGAGGGCGGAGCCGCTAACAAATACACACACACTCAGGCTCACGACAGCATTGTGACATCATAATGTACCAGTTTACATCATATCATACTTCTTAGCCAATAGCGGTGGCAGATTTAAATTAAAATACAGTGCAGAGTTTTTACCTGACAACGGCACAACACTGCCAGTTTTAGGCAGAATATTTAAATTTGAACTAAGATGTACTGAAGTGCCAAATTATTGACGACACGTGTCTGCAGCACGATTAGACACTCGTTTATTTAGTTTATCAGCAAAAAAAAGTTTATTTGGGGGTGACTTGCTCTTTAAGGGCAATTCTCATCTGTTTTGTTTGATCTCATCCGTAGACATTTATTTTAACTGGGGATGTCAAACAACTAATTTTTAAATGTAATTAAACATAGGCTGTGACTTAATCAAAATTGATCACTATTTCCAAAAATGACTGAAAAAATACCAAATAAAACAAAAGTAAATGAATGCCATCCTCCTTGTGATGATGCCCTGGGCAACTGCCATAAAGTCACATCAAGAAATGCTGCTGATCATTCCAATGATCCCAAATAGACTCACATTAGGCCACATGAAAGCAACTGAACCCAAAAATATATTAACCAGTATATAACTGCACTCTCACACAACACGCCTGCAGCAAGTTAGGACTCCTCCCTCCCTTTTAAAAGCGTTTTCGCTTCTGAGGACATTGTGGTTGTAAAACCACATGTTAGTAGTCTGGCCCCGGTGTGATCAACCAGTTTCTGCGGGAATGTGACGGCGGAACCGGTTCGCAGCGGCGCGAGTCCCCTCCCCCCACCCCACCCCGCCTATCTAATAGCGTCGCGCTTACAATTTTATGGACTTTTTTTTACGAGCTTAGGGCATGTCTAGCCTGTGTAATAATCCGGGGCTTGGATGAATCACTTTTGAAAAGTTTTTAACTTACCCGGACACCGAGCTCTCTCCTTCCTCGCTGATGATTCTGACATGCTTGCGTTTAAGACGCTGCATCATCACCGTAGTATCCCCGTGCCATGCTGTCTGACCTACAAACGTTGAATGTCTTCGCCTGATTTAACTGAAAATGCTCCCAAACTTTAGAAGTTTTTACTTTTTGGGGGTCTCGCTGCTTCTGCCATGTTCCTCTTACAAACACCTGCCGGCTCTCCACCGGTCTGCGCGCAACGGCGGGCGGGAGGGGAGGGGGCTTTTGGAAGAGTTGCGCAACACAACGAATCGATGACGCAATTCGTTGCCAACGCTTTTAGTAATCGATTTTCATCGAATTTATCGATTCGTTGTTGCAGCCCTAATGCCTTTATGCTATGAGTATTAGAGCCACTGATGGGAAAAAAAATAGAATTCTGAGAAAATAAGTCATAAATCTGAGTTTAATCTCAGAGTTCTGACTGGTACCTAAAACAAAAAAAAAAGGGAAATTGGGGAAGATTATGAGGGGGGATCAGAATTCTGACTTAAATCTTAAAATTCAGGCTTTTTTTTTTGTTTGTTTGTTTTGATTTTTTTTTAACAAAAAAAATTCCTAAATAGTTTTTTGTTTGTTTGGTTTTAGGTTCATGAAAAAAGTCAGAATTCTAACTTTAATCCCAGAATTTTGAAATTATCTGACTTTTTTTCTCAATTCTTTTCTTTTTCTTCAGTGACTCTAATACTCTTAGGCAATAAGGCAGTATTAGGGCCACTGAAGGAAACAATTGAATACTGAGATAAATGTCAGAATTCTACTTTATTTATTTTATTTATTTTCAGAATTTTTTCTTCTTCAGTGGCTTTAATACCCCTCCGTATTATGTAATGTTAAACACTTCAAATTAACTTTTGAATTCAGCAGTTTATCATTGGATTTAGATGCAGATATCACTGTCTTGGAAAATTGGTCAGAGCAGTTTGGCATTAAGTTTGATTAGTAAACTTGACAGTATTTACACTCTTAATCTTCTTAGGAATTACATGATGTCCACACAAGGCGTACTTCCTTCCTGTCACCCTTCCTGTCTATCTACGTGAGGAAACCTCTGGATTTTTGAGGACATGTGTGGTAAGTCCCAGTATTGTAAATTTGAACAAATCATTCTATTTATTTATGCATAAAGACAACACAAGGACAACGCACATGAACATTTTGGAAAATGTGCCATTGTTTCAACTACAAACCATTGGCAAGATGTTTAAGCCTGCCACACACGAGAGCAATCAGCTGAGCAAACGGCCTCGAAGGACTGTTTGCTCAGCAGATTGCTCGCCATGTGCGCCTGATTTTCACTGAGTTTTCTGCCTCACGAGACGCTGAGGTGAATATCTGACCAGTTAGATATTTTGCGCCTCACAGGGGTAAAAACTCGCTGTGTGTGCACTACTGAACTGCTGGCTGAGCTGAAATATTCTAGTGGCCAATCAAAGCACTTTCTCCGCTCACATGACCCCAAGATGTATTCAGATACAGCCCCTTACCCTGTCTGCGTGTCTGAAAAATAAACAAAACGGTACCTTGTGGATCGATGGGCCCACTGTTTCCATTACCCTTTCGGAAGGATTCTGGGTCTTCCAGGTGCATCTCCTGGAGTAAATTGGCATAAACTCCTTGCCTGGTCCATCTTTCCAGCTACTGTACCCATATTTTCCTAACCTTGAAACGCCGGTGGCGGCGACGTTTCATCAACAAAAAAGGATAGGCATTTCCTCCGTTTCCAGCTCTGTCTCTGTTTTGTTTCTTTTCTGACATGCAGAGAGGGGGCTGCCATCTTGGGGTCATGTGAGCGGAGAACGTGCTTTGGTTGGCCACTAGAATATTTCAGCTCAACCAGCAGCTCAGTAATGCGCACACGGCGAGTTTTTACCCCTGTGAGGCGGAAAATATCTTAACTGGTCAGATATTCACCTCAGCGTCTCGTGAGGCGGAAAACTCTGTGAAAATCAGGCGCACATGGCGAGGTATCTGCTGAGCAAGCGGTCATTCGAGACCGTTTGCTCAGCAGATGGCCCTCATGTATGGCAGGCTTTAAGGCACTGAGAAAAATCAACAATCACTGCAAAGAATTCAAGTAGCTTTCATTAGCATAACGCTGGCACACACTGAAGCCATCTCACTTTATTCATAAATGAGAGCACTAAGCAACAGAATGAACGGGAGTAGGGCTGGTCGATATGGCCTAAAATCAATATCACCATATATTGAAGATCTCACCTCGATAACGATAAGTAGACGATAACTACAGGAATGCGTAGCAACAATATTTGTCCACTAGATGGGGCTGTCTCGTGTATTACATTGACTAAAATTTTACATGACTCAAGGTGCTACAGCTTCTTAAAGGGACATAAATGTGGCCAACTTACACATCTTTTCATTTTTTTATTATCAAATTTATTGACATGGGAAAAATTATCTGGATGAGAGACAAGAACTTGGATAGCGATAAATCTTTGACATGTTGCCCAGCCCTAAACAGGAGTCTATCAGACTGCATTTATTGTTATTTACATGACAATCTACTGAAATAAAAATGGCCACAGTCAGAGTTTCAGTTCAAATGTGATTAGTGTATGATCTCCCTTTCATTTTTGTAAGGATGATACCAATGAGCCGGACCTCAGGGATGCAGCAGTTGTCCTGACGACCATCACTGATGATGCCGAGAGTCCAGTTACGTACGACCCAGTGAGAATCTGTTATCCTAGAGGGTGATGTGAGTGTCAACCTCTCCAGCCTTCCTGATGTCTTCCTGGTAATGTTCGGCCTCATCTATGCCTTACATCTAGATTATCCGAAGAGACTGACCAACACATTTGAGTTCACGCAGAAAATCTTACTTGGTCTTGATGAGTCTAAACTGTCACCCACGCTGCAGAGTCAAATATGACCTGATGTTACATGTGTAACTCAAAATCTGAAAGAGTGGTGGATTCAGATGGCTCACTCTGTTAGAGCATTGTCCACATCCACGATGTAATTTACCATTTGTCTGCTCTTTAATTGTTGATGTTAAAGTAACACACCACCATTTGGGCAAATATGTTAATTTTCCACTTCTCCTTGAGTTAACCCTCCCACTGTCCTAATGGGTAGGACCCCACGAGGAAAGTTGACCATTGAGCAGGGTTGATGGTTCATCCTTTGGGTCCATGTGCCAGGGGTGAGAAGTGAGCACCACCTCCCCCCTGCCCGTGGACCTCAAGGGATAAACCATCAACTCTGCTCAATGGTCAACTTTCCTCGCGGGGTCACCCATAAAGACAGTGGGAGGAACAGTTGAGTTTTACCTTTTCTCTGTTCATCCAGCCGTTCTGAGTCTGGCAACTCTCATTTGTGGCTTTAGTTTAGCGTGAATAATTGAATCGGATTAGCCCATAGGCTAATCTGATTCAGTACTCAACTGGTTTTATGCCAAATGGCATAAAGTACTCACTGACTTACTTGATAGTGGTTAGTGTAATTCATATTTTGTTAATGTTGAATCGATGTGCATCCTGATGTTGCTTTAAACCACCTACTCAAAGAAAGACTACACACTGCTGTTGTCCAGTTTTCAAAAGTGTGCGTTTGTAATTGTTTCTTTCAAATTTTGTTTTATTTTCTGTTTGAGTTGGCTTAATCGGTAACTTTAATTTGATCATAATTTGAAAATATATTTAATATAAACTCCAAATATTCAAGTTTATTTATGGTCTGATATAGTCAAATATCTGAGTTTATAAACTCAGAAAATATGAGGCAACTGATTGCCTTACATTTTTTGAGTTCTGCCTACTTATTCGGGTTTACAGTGTACGAACTGTAAAGATTTTGTGGTGTCAGAGTTCACCTAACAGTTCAAGTGTTCATTTATTTGCTTTGTGTGTTCACAGGGCATGCTCAGTTGAAGTTTCCATCTCTGCGCGTTCAAGATGTAAGAAAAATAACACGAAAGAAATGCAACAATGAAAACTTCAAAAAGGCATCAACAACCAAGCAAGTGGATCCATAAAATGGACTGATTTTTTTAAAGGCATTTTTAAAAAGTCTTTCAAAATGGACAGAATTAACGCGTCATGTTCAGAACAGTTTGCGTTCTCATCTTTGATTAATCCTGGTAAACAGGTCTGTTTTTGTTCTGTTCTAATTCTCTCTGTTTAATAAATTTAAACAAAATGACTTAGCTATTTTATTTTTTTTCTCTGCATAAAGACGAAGTATCAGTAAATAGTGGAAAGTAAATGTATTGGTAGTAAGCAAATAGCAGATGTTAAATGTTACTTGCAGTATGTGTTTATAGAAAAAATAGAGATACTTAAATGTACTAAAAGAATATTACGTCAAGTTTACTGTAAAGTGTACTTTCAAAACTGTAAGTATACTCAATTATATAAGAAGTACACTACAAGTAAACATATTATTACTTTAAGTATAATTTTAAGTATACATTCAAAGAGAAAAGTATACTCAATTATTTCAGAAGTACACTACAAGTAAACTTATAATGCTACTTAAAGTTTATTTTTAAGTATACTTTCAAGGGCAAAAGTTTACTCAATTTTATTAGAAGTAAACTTATACTGTTACTTTTAAGTATACTTTCAATGAGAAAAGTATACTCAACTATATCAGGAGTACACTACAAGTAAACTTATATTGTTACTTTTAAGTATACTTCCAAGGAGAAAAGTATACTCAATTATATCAGAAGTACACTACAAGTAAACTTATAAGTATACTTCCAAGGAGAAAAGTATACTCAATTATATCAGAAGTACACTACAAGTAAACTCATAAGTATACTTTCAAGGAGAAAAGTATACTCAATTATATCAGAAGTATACTACAAGTAAACTTATAAGTATACTTTCAAGGAGAAAAGTATACTCAACTATATCAGGAGTACACTAGAAGTAAACTTATATTGTTACTTTTAAGTATACTTCCAAGGAGAAAAGTATACTCAATTATATAGAAGTACACTACAAGTAAACTTATAAGTATACTTTCAAGGAGAAAAGTATACTCAATTATATCTGAAGTACACTCCAAGTACACTTGTGAGGTTACTTTAAGTATACTTTCAAAGAGAAAAGTATACTCAATTATATCAGAAGTACACTACAAATAAACTTAAATTATTACTTTGAAGTATACTTGTAGTATACTTCAAGTATACTTTTAGTGGCCCAATTTAGTCCCAAGGAGTATACTTCTAAGTAAACTTTAAGAACAAGTATGCAAATAAACTTCTGTACACTTAAGTATACTTGAAATTAGATACTTAAAGTATACTTCTTTTTCGTAAGGGAAGTTCAGAGGCGTGGGTGATGATAAAGGGTTAATATGGTGCAGCGACTTTCTCCCGCCCACCGTCATGTGACTGAATTCACGCATGCGTGCTAGGTGTGAAGATTTTTTTAATGGCGTCGGATACTAGCAGCGACGTTAGCCATGTGCTCGGTTTGAAAACACCAAAAACTCTTAAAGCTGCAGTCTGGCAGCATTTTGGTTTCAGAACTGACAAAGAGAAAGGTCAGCTTGACAAAAGCAAAGTGATTTGCAAGGCATGCCAAATGGAGGTGAAATATTGCGGAATTACAACCAATCTCAACAATCACATTTTGCGACATGACCAAGATCTTGCGTGCAAGCCGTCCACTGGTCTGCAGCAGATGAAATTCAAGGAATCAATACAACTACCGGCTAATTCTACACGTTCTCACAAAATAACTGAGGCAATAGCGGGCTTCATTTGCAAGGATATGCGCCCATATTCTGTCGTTGAAAACGAGGGCTTCAAGCGGCTAATGAAAGTAGCAGAGCCGCAATATGTTATGGTTTCTCGCAAACGTCTTTCAGATGAAGTCATCCCAAACATGTACCAGTCGGTGAAAGAAAATGTGAAAAGTAAGCTTCAGTCAGCAGAGAGAGTGGGCATTACAACGGATACCTGGACATCTGTGGCTACGGAATCGTACATGAGTTTGATGACACACTACATTGACGAGGAGTGGAACCTCAACTCGTACGTATTACAGACCACAGAAGTTGAAACTGACCATCGTTCTGCCAGTCTAGCAGAAATGTTGACCGCAGCGATAGAGGAGTGGGGGCTGATGAGCAAAGATCCTGCTATGGTGACCGACAATGCGGCTAATATGATTCGTGCTGTTGAGATGATGGGGTTAACACACATTGGCTGTTTTTCACACATCATAAACCTCGCCTCACAAACCGGTCTCAAACTCCCAAATATTGCACGCCTGCTTGGGAGAGTGAGGCACATTGTAACGTTCTTCCATCGCAGCACAACAGCCAGCCGCATCTTGAAAGAAAAGCAGAAACTATTGCAGCTTAAACAACACAAGCTCACAATTGATGTTGTGACCAGATGGAATAGTGCACTGGAAATGCTCGAACGTTTTCTGGAGCAGCAGCCTGCTATCTCTGCTGCTCTGCTCTAACCTGAAGTCCGCAGAAATGAAAAAGATTTGTGCAGCCTGAAAGAGGAAGACATAACTGATGCTGAAGATGTGGTCAGAGCTCTGAAGCCAATGAAAAAAGCTACTGAAGTCATGTCAGAAGAAAAGTCACCAACTCTCTCAGTGATGGCACCCCTGCATGCTCTGCTGCTGAAGGAGATGACCAGCCTCCCAGAAGACTCCAAAGTTGTTAAGGATATGAAGAATGAGATCAAGAAAAACCTGAGCACAGGGTAGGCCTATTTTGTGCGTGTGAGAGAGAAAATAGGTTATATTGTGTATTTAATTAAACAATTTAAGAAAATATTATCTCCCTAATTGCATAGATATAAATGTGTGACATTTATATTTCAGGTATGTGAACGAGACGGCCATGCTGCATGCCACCTCAGCTGTTGGTCCACGCTTCAAAGCCCTGCCATTTCTGGGTGAGGAGGAGCGAGAGCACACCTTCTCCAGGCTCCAGGCTGAGGCAGTGGGTGGGATGGAGGAAGAAGCATCTAATGTAAGTAATAAGAAGCCTTGTGAGAAAGAAAATCCAAGCAAATACTACCATGTAATTGATCTCTCTCTCTCTCACACACACACATTTTGGTGAAGTCTAATCTGAATTAGTTGAAAGCTAATTTTGCCTATTTTCTGAAATCATCCTATTAAACCTGGTTTTCACAACATGTTATTGGTTTTATTGTTATTTGTATATTTTTCATTTTAGTTTTCATTTATTCTTTCATATTTAGTAGTAGTATCTTCGTTGAGTGTTACTAGGTTAGTGAGTTTGTTGACAGAAGTATATTAACTGAAATGTTTAATTACATTTATTAAACTCTTACCTATCAGGGAGAAGTTGTTTGTGTTTATTCCAATTATAAATGTGCAGTTTCTTAAGTTTCAGAAACATATTTTTAAATATTTAAATATTTTATCATATTTTAAATCTCAGCCTGAGCAGGCAGGTATTCATAGATGATAGAATATAATCCGATTAATCACACAGTGGGGAAGTTAATTCGCTACAGCATCACATATCCTTGGAGAAAACGAGAAATAATAAGATTACACTCAAATACACAAGGCAGTAAGCTATTGTAACCTTCAAAAAATACACAACGCTAAGAACCAAGACTGAACACTTTTCCTGATATCCAAGTTGTTGTCTAACTTGATAGTTTAGATTAAAATGACAGATTTATGTTATGTTAAGTTATTCATAGCCAAACCAAAGCCTATGTTGCACAACGACACATAAGTATTTCTTCTCTCATGCAGCAAGATGAAGTTGATGAAATGGAGGAAGAGGAGGAAAACAATACCCCTGCACATAACCCCAAGCAATCCAGTGCTTTGGAGTCTCTCCTTGGGGAAGCCTACATACCAAGAGAGGAGAGGGGACATGCAAAGAAAACTCTTGCAGAGGTGGCAGAAGATGAGATCAAGAGGTACAGGGCGAGGAGACCTGCAGGACTGCAGGACAATCCTCTGGTCTGGTGGAGAGAGAATGAAAAAGAGTATCCTCTTTTGGCTCGCATGGCTAAGCGATATCTCTGTGTCCCTGGGACCAGTGTCGCGTCTGAGAGGGTTTTTTCAACTGCAGGTGATATAATTACTGCAAAAAAGAAGCTGTCTCACCCCTGGTCATGTGAATCAGCTACTTTTCCTGCAGAAGAATCTTACCATTCCCAAGTGATGTTCATAAGAGGACAGTTTACACAGTCTGACTTTAGTCAAGTTTAATTTCCTGTTCAGTTTTGTTTGTACATTAATATGGAATGCCTTTCACGTTTCACAAGTTTACATTTTTGTACTTTAACGGCATTTGAATGTTTCTGGATACTTGAAGTGTTTAAGTTTTTGCACAAGACTGTGAAACAGTTGTTTAAGGTTCTGTACCTTTTAATTTCTATTTGCACAAAGTAAAACAAAAGCCATTAATTTTAAGCTTTCTGCTTCTGTTTACATTTGCACTGGCAAATAATATCTTTTTTCATATGGTTAAACTTATCTGAATAAAAATGGCATTTGCTTTCAACAGCAATAGCATTTGGCTGAATTCCTAACATCTGAATTTAATGATGTCCTAGAAAACACTGGAAACACTTGACATTCTTGGAGAGGAACTGGTCCTTACAACTGTTTTTAATGGCCAATATTTCATTAATTTATCACTGAATGTCAATATTATCAATAAACTGCACAACTATGCAGTCATGGAATTATGGTAACTGCAAAAATGTTTTTAAATTGATGACCTGAATTGAATCGATATCGGATCGGAATCGATCGGATTAGATAGTGATAATCGATTTTAAATCTCAAGAATCGGAATCGAATCGATTCTGGAAATTTGCATTGATACCCAGCACTAAAAGTAACGTTAGCAAGCAGCCTAAAGATAAGTTTCAGGCTAACTGGCTCAGACTGTATCCCTGGCTTGAAAATAATAATGGTGAAATGAACTGCTCCATTTGTAAAATGTACGGCGCTGTGCCTTTTGCAAGTCGATGCTACAAAACATCAACTTTACGTCGTCACGCTGATGGTGTCTCTCACACTGCAGCAATAAAAAGAAAACGTGAGGCGGATTCAGCAAAACATGTAATGGCCAAAGCTATCGAATATGCAAATTTACAGTCTGCTGCAGAAATGAAGGGGCTCCTGAAAACTGCATATTTTATTGCAAAAAATGAAATGGCAAAAGCTAAATGTTGTCATGTGGTTAAATTCCTGAAAGAAGAGTGTCCTGCTTTCAAAAAACTTCCAGAAACATCAATCTATGGTAGCTACGTCAATGAAAAAGGACTGTCAGAAATGCAGCAAGCTATTGCAAGCACACTTGTGGAAGATGTTGACAAAGCTGTTGAAAGAAGTCCCGTGTTTTCATTAATATCGGATGAATCTACTGACATTAGTAACACCAAACGACTGATTATCTATGTCAGGTTCATAGATGACAACAAGGTCAAAATAAAACTGATAAGGAATTCTGAAACTGCTGATGGAAGAGCAGACACTATTGTTGAAGATGTAAAACAGCTATTGACAGAAAAAAAACTGGATGGAATAAAACTTGCTGCAGTTTGCACTGATGGAGCTGCTGTAATGACAGGATGCAGACAAGGAGTTATTAAAAAACTCAGAGAGCTATACAATCCAGACCTGGTAGGAATCCACTGTACGGCTCATCGTCTCGCACTTGCTGCCAGTGATGCAGCCAACTCTGTGCCACAGGTGAAACGGTTTCATCAGGAGTTGAGATCAATTTTTACTTTTTTTCAGTAATTCTGCTGTCAGAAGCAACAAGCTGCATGAATTGCAGAAACAGTTGGACGAACCCCAACTGAAGTTCACCCAGCCGCATGCAGTAAGGTGGCTGTCAATTCACAATGCAGTGTCAGTAGTGTGTAGATCACTGAAATCCCTGAGCGATGTCCTGGAGCACATGGCTTCCTCTAATGCACAAGATGCTGACAAAGCTAAAGGTCTGCTACTAGCTGTGAGACAGTTTAACTTTGTGGCCCTTTGTCACATGATGAAGGACGTACTGATGCATGTAGTCCTTCTCTCAAAACATTTTCAAAGAGAAGATCTGGACTTCTCCACAGCACAGCCAATGGTTGAAAGTACCAAAGAAGCCCTGAAGGAAATAATCGTCCACCCTGGCCCTGCAGAAACTGAATTCTTCAGCTCTCTTGATGGAAACAAGTTTAAAGGAGACAAAATTTTTGACTGCCACACCCAAAAACCAGCCTTTGATGACATGAAGAGCAGGTACGTGGGATCTTTAATAACAGAGATTGAGAGAAGATTCCCCTGTGAGACACTGGATGTTCTGTCATGGTTTACGAATTTGGAGCCAAAAAAAGCCATTATGGCAAAAAAGTCAGATAACTTTTCTCATTATGGCCTTGAAAAACTCGACAACCTTCTTGCACACTTCTCAAACTATGTAAGTGCAGTGGATGGACACTCGGAGTTTGCCTTGCTGAAGCAAACTATGGTTTCCAGTGACTCGTACGCCTCATTGACCTTTCAGCAGTTTGCAGAGGCTGTTTTGAGTGACCATCGGGGTGTGTTCACTGAAATGGAGAAGCTCATTAAGATCGCTTTAGTCATCCCAGTTGCCAGTGTGTCATGTGACCGCGGATTCAGCACGCAAAACAAGATAAAAACAAGATTCAGAAATTCTCTGAATAACGCAAACCTCACCAATCTGATGCTGATTTCAGAGCTTGGCCCTCCGAAAGAGCAGTTTGATTTCAACAGAGCTTTTATCAAATGGAAAGAGATGAAGCAGAGGAGACAGAAGACAGAGAGGACAGAGGACCAAGCAGAGCGTGGGAGAACCCCGCTCCAAAACTAATTAGTACTGTGAGCTAACAGATACATTAATGTACATAGTTGCAATCGTGTTTTATGCCACATCAACGAAACTGTTTGTGTTAAAAGTTGGGTTAATGAAAATTCATCAGTTTGAGATCGAATAATTCAGAGACAGAAATCAGAGTAAGAAGAGAAGATGGAGACAACAGATAAAGAAGCACAAACAAGAGCAAAGATGCAGCCCAGAGAGTTGGACACAAACTTCAGCAATTAAAATTGTTCAGATAATTTCTAATACCAGTGCAGCAAAAAGGAGCATTTTTATTTGATTTTTATACTTCAAATTTATTACAATGGAGAAAGATGCAGTGTTAGAGGCCAAGAAAAAGACAACATTTGGACAAAAGAAAAGATGGCCACAGATGCAGCTATGAGGACCACTAAGGAAGATTAAAAAAAGTTAATAAATGCATCAATCTGAGGTAAGAATACAACAATGTTAAGGCCTGTTGTTAATCCCACAAGTAATTCCTGGAAAGTTTATTTTTATTTTTTTAACTTCTGTGTGAGGAAAGAAATCAGGCAGAGGAGATGAAACAAAGAAAGGGACAAGAGCAACGAAGATGAGAGTCCAATGAAAGCTGCTTATAAACGTGATGTAAGGTATGATCAGTACAACATAAGACTGCACATTCGGTAATCCCCCACCCCCACCCCCCAATATATAAATTCCCCCTGTACAGACATATGTGAAGGGGGAATTCCCCCCTGTTCTTAGAAGTGAATTTCAGGCCCTGATAATGTCGAAAAGCTCCCCGTTAAGTTATCAGCCTTCCATCGCCAGGCCTTCCTCTCATGGACACTCATGTACAAGCACAATTTCTCACCTCACCGCGACTTCATCTGGAATAATAAGGACATTCTTTATAAACACAAGTCTCTGTTTTTCAACTCATGGTTCCAGAATAACATAATTTTAGTAGACCAACTCTTTAATGCAGAAGGTCAGTTACTTTCCTATGGTGAGTTTTTACAACAGTATAATATTCCGATTACGCCGGGCGAATACGCAAAGGTTTTTGGAGCCATTTCTCCAGGAGTGTGTATGTTATTCAATCAGAGACCTAGATTAGATTATAGTCAGTTCTCTCCTGTTTTTTCTCCAATTCTGTCCCCAATCGGTGAAGTTTGTTTTAATTACTCTCCTAATAATAAAAACAAAGCAATTAGAACTCTCTTTCTTAAAGACATGAAATCTCTTCCATGTGCCGTACCATACTGGAATAGATTTGTGGCTGACTTGACATGGAGGAAGGTTTGGCTTCTACCCGATCAATTTCTGATCACTAACAAGGTTAAAGAAACTTCCTTTAAACTATTACATAGATTCTACCCCTCTAAATGTTATTTTAAAAAATTTAAATCAGACCTGGATGTATCTTGTACATTTTGTGAAGATCTTCCAGAAACAACAACTCATCCTTTTTGGCTGTGTACTCATTCCAAACGGTTTTGGCAGTCTTTCTGTGACATCATCTGCTGTAAATTCTCTGTCAATTTTAACATTTATTGGAAGCAGGTTTTGTTTGTCCTTCACCAGAATATTTTTAATAACTATTAAATTTTTTATTAATCTGTTATTTCTCTTGGCCAAATTTCATATCCATAAAAATAAATTTCTTAAAAGCAAACCCAACTTTAACTGTTTCTTAGTAGAGGTCAAGCATTATATGGACTCTATCCGGTTCTCACAAAACCAGAAGGCTGTAAAGACTACTCAAATATGTACCCGCTTTAAGATAATCTGATGCTGATTTATTACTATCTCTGTGTTGATGTTCTCTCTAGATATATGCTACTGTAATCAGTATTTTTCTGTACACCCATCTTTTTTATATCCCCTGGCACTTAGTTTACATTTTTGCACTTCTCACTTTTCTTATACGTTGTCAACTGTGAGCTTGTAAACTTATTGTCACATTGTATATTCTATTTTTGTTAATAAAGGTTCATAAAAAAATTAACTCCAAAATATCTAAAACGGAGTACTTCACTTGCCAACAGTGATTACAGCATCCATTTTGACTCTGGGAGGTTGAATCAGTCTTTATTTCTTTATAGAATTTGTTCTACACTTCACATCACACAGGGGCCTTTACGTCACCTTTATTTACCATAAATGGCTAAAACTGGTCCTTTTCTGCCACAATAATCACGTAATTTATGCTAATCCTAAAGCTCTTCCCCTCGGTACCCGCTGGTGTTTCTTACCTGCTGTGTGCGAGCTGCTCTGTGGTTTCCAGCTCATATCCGACAGTCTGCGCTGGCCACCGAGCCCTTCCTCGAACTGGGCCATGGCTTCTTCAACCTTCCTGATTTTTTCTCTAGCAATAGCTACTTGCTTGGTGACAAACTCCATCAGAGACTCTCCTGAATACATGTTTAATATTCACCTCACAAGGCTAAACAACGATAAACTAACGTTGCTAACGGTCTTCTTTTTCAGTTCCTTCCTCTTGTCCACGAGGCTGAAGTTATCTTCCGTTCCCAACTATTCGGCAAACGGCTAAAAGGGGCAATTTTGTTTGTAAACAGGAACGCCCCCTGTTAGCAGAGTGTCGTTTCACGCAGCGGTCGGTCCAAATATCCCAAGCGGAGTCCCAGATTCAAAGGTACGGAATAAACGATAGATACAGAGCTTCTTGTTTCAACGGGCTTTCACTGGCGCTAGCAACTTTGCAAACACAATGCTTCCCTTTTATGGAGTAAGGTCTAGCTGCAGACGAAGCCCCGACAAACCACGCCCCCATGTGTCTGTTGTGCTCCTCCGAGCTCCCCTGGTGGTCAGAAAAGGGAAACATCTCAATTACGGTGTCGGTACAGAATCTGCTCGGGTTCAAGATCGGCTCGGGGTCCTTCGACTGCCGATGACGTCAAAGTACGGCAAACCGACTCGGACAAAATATACTACACCTCTATACTGTTGGAAAGAATTTAGCACTTTCGTTATTAAAATAACGTTTCTTAAGACGTAAGTTTGTGTTTATAATGGTATTAGTAAAATAAAACACTATATCTTATTCATAATGTTGAACTCCTCTTTGAGCACATCCCTTGAAGAATCATAGGTATTAGCAACACCTGTGAAATTGTATTTGCAGGAAAGAAGTGTGTCCCGTTTATTTAAGTATTTTGTGTTTAGAGTTTTTGACGTCTTGTCATAGACTGTAGCTGCTAGCCAAACCTCTGGAGTTAAAAGTTTTCTGGCTTTACTAAAAAACCTGTCTGTATTTATTTGATTGATGGTATTTTTACTTTCTTTTAGACTCCAAATGTAATCATTTGGCACGTTTGTAATTCATTATTTGCAATAATGTAATCGGCGATATTAGCATTAGCATTCCTATGGGTTTTTCCATGTATATTAGCATTGCGCTAACCACTCGCTGCCAAATTGCAGCCTTTGAGATTAGAAAATCTCCTGGCTTTACTAAAATACCTGTCTGTACTAATTTGATTGATGGTATTTTTACTTTCTATAAGACTCCAAATGTAATCATTTGGCACGTTTCTAAATCATAATTTGTAATAATGTAATCGGCGATATTAGCATTAGCATTCCTATGGGTTTTTCCATGTATATTAGCATTGCGCTAACCACTCGCTGCCAAATTGAAGCCTTTGAGATTAGAAAATCTCCTTTTGTCACATCGCAATTTAATTGCACATGCAGTTAATCGTTCAGCCCTAATATACATGCAGCTCTATGCTACAAGCGTATTTTCAAAGAGGTAATGATGGATTTCTTTGTAAAAGTTGTCCATCTTTCCATTAGAAAGATTTGCCTGGACCAACGTAACATGATAACAACGTAACGTGATTACGTAATTCCGTAAGGTTCATGTTCAGCCAATCAACTACTTAGACGTCATCGGCAGTCGACGGACCCCGAGCCGATCTTGCACCCGAGCAGATCCTGTACCGACAACGGCAGCCCTCCCAGCGGGCGGGGAGAGCTTAAACCTGGGTCGGATCCAGGGTGCAGCACCCCGCCTCAGGCTCCAGCAGAGGAGATTGGGGTTTGATTCATATCTCACACCTTTCAATCGCGAACAATACAATTGAAATAATACGTTTATACAGAAATAGTAACAATGTAATTAAACAGACAGGACTCCAGTTTTAAATATGAATGTATGGATTTTTTTTTCTTGCATACACACTTTATGGCTATCCCCAGTGGGATTATAAAACACGACACCACCAACAAATAATCAGTTGCCGGACAATAGGCACAACATACCTATGCTTATTTAAGTTAGCAGGTGAGTAATAAATGTGCAAGTGTTTATTTTAAATGCAATAAAATAAAATATCAGAAAAATTAATTAGTGGTAATCGTTTTAATTAACCCCTTAAGCCCACTAGCCCCCATTTTTGGGAGCATGCCTTCTACAGCAACATTTAACTTTCAACCATTTGTTATTACAGGCACTAACAGTGGGTCTAAGTTCATACGAGTGAGTAGTTAATATTTATGTTACTATTAATGATTTTTTATTGCTTCTTTACAGTGAAAAGCTGCTGATGTGTAATTTTTAGGCATATTTTCATGTGTATATATGTATTTCATATATTCTGTTAACAGGAATAATTGCTGGCCCTTTGACACAAAATGTATTATTTAGAAATTACTAAAATATTTTGAATTGAGTAAACAATTCACAAGACTAGTAAACTGATATTGACCATACACTAATCTTTAAAAATTATGCTGTAAACACAAAAGCAGAAAAGTTTTGCTTTAGAAAAAAAGTTCAGACAAATGAAATAACCAGCAACAGCTTTTATTGGCCTTACAAATACCTTCAAAAAAATGTCAACACAATGCTACAGCCTCTTCAAAAATTCAGAAGAGTCCAGAGCTTTTCTGAATTTCTCCATGTATATGAGCAGTTTCTGTTTTGCCTCCTTGCTCATGCTTTTTTCCATGGCATAGGACATCAGCTGCCTCTCACTAATAAGACAAAGACAAATAGCAATTAGTACAAATGGCATTTACACCTAGAGGCTGTCATAAACAATGTGAAAACAATACATATAGGCATTAGCACTGTTCTTGTGTTTGTAGAATACCTCCAGTCGTACTGCAGCCCACTGCTGTACATTTCTGTGGCTTTGTCTGGTCAACATTCATGGACAGCTGAAAGCACATGGATGGTTGCCTGAGTAATGAGGTGAACAAAAGGACATCTTTCATGTAGACATTAGTCTGTCAGGTAACAAGATATTAACCATGAGTTATAGACTGACAACAGTAATGCTACAAAATATTTTCATGTGATACATAAACATTTTCAGAATGTACCTCTGGCAGAAGCACATCCATAATGAATGCCACTTGATTGTGACATCCAGCAGTTCATTGCTGGTATGGACTCATGTGGTCGGTTCTGGCAAATGGTGAAAAGATTCTGGAAGCAGTTCCTTCTTGTATTTACAAATACAGGACAGAAAGTTACAAGGAAGTGCTTCCAGAATCTTTTCACCACTACCTGGAAACCTGCAGGAAGCAACCGACGAGAAGAAGAAGAAGCCACTATTTTCCAGTGGGAATGGTGGCTTCTTGCCATTCAAGGTGTGTACACCAAAACACCAAAAACCAATTTTGTGTGTGTGTGTGTGTGTGTGTGTGTGTGTGTGTGTGTGTGTGTGTGTGTGTGTGTGTTTACAGAACACTGTATTATGGAACCAAATTGTTCCACTATAAAGATGGCCCTTACGTTGAACATTGGTGAATGTAGTTCCTGTAGAGGTGATGCCAGAATTGTCATTAAGAGCAAACCTGTCTACTCTGAAACAGTAGTTAGTGTATTTCTGAAATTATTAAGAATCTGTTTTGTTTTTCACTCATATTGACCAATGATATTCATCTTATTAATAACTACAAAGCATTTCACTATGATAATGAAAATTAACATCATACAAATTTTATTTGTCAGTGCGCTCCAGGGCAGCTGTAGCTACATTTTAGCTACTCACCACCAGGGTGTGAATGTGTATGTGGGCGGGTAAATTACTGATTGTGTTGTAAAGTGCCTTGGGAGGTTCCAGGACTGTAGACGGGCCGGGATGTGGCATGGGCTAGGAGGGGCAATGCCCCCCTAAAAATAGTGACTGCCCTCCCAAATGCTATGACATGTAGAAATCCCAAATTTGAAAATCTCTCTCTCTCTCTCTCTCTCTCTCTCTCTCTCTCTCTCTCTCTCTCTCTCTCTCTCTCTCTCTCTCTCTCTCTCTCTCTCTCTCTCTCTCTCTCTCTCTCTCTCTCTCTCTCTCTCTCTCTCTCTCTCTCTCTCTCTCTCTCTCTCTCTCTCTCTCTCTCTCTCTCTCTCTCTCTCTCTCTCTCTCTCTCTCTCTCTCTCTCTCTCTCTCTCTCTCTCTCTCTCTCTCTCTCTCTCTCTCTCTCTCTCTCTCTCTCTCTCTCTCTCTCTCTCTCTCTCTCTCTCTCTCTCTCTCTCTCTCTCTCTCTCTCTCTCTCTCAAAGTAGCTGCTGATTGGTAGATGCATAGGGAGTGTGTGGCCAGCCACTGCACTTCATTCTCTGTGTCTCACTCGCTTCACACGCCTCAGACAGCAGCAGAACACAAAGACGCACCGTCATTATCTGAGCTCAGCCACTGGTTGAAGTTTTCTTCTTCTGTCGGTCACTGGAATTATTTGGTACTCTTTCTCAAGGTTTTAGTTTGCCTCGTGCTCTCCTTGAAATTGTTTTTGAAGTGAACCGAGTCAACAATGCGCAGGTTTCTGGTTTCTAAACCGAGCAACAGTGCTAAGGCACTAGCGGATGAAACCGGCTCGTTGGCTGCTGCTTCTCAACCATCGACATTAATATATGGACAATGGGTTTCCATAGGCTCCAATAACAAGTTTTTCTGTTAAAATGGGAGGTGGCCACCACCGCCATTTTGACCGTGTCACAGGTTCCGTCAAGCCCAGACAATTCCATAAAAGGGAAGAGAGGAGGAGCTGAGGGTGGGGCTGTAAGGCTGGGATCAACTGACGACACCCGGTCGAACTAGCTACAAGCTAACTTGAAGCTAACCCAAAGCTAATGCAAAGGTGGGAGCTAAGCTAACAGAGGTAGCAACCTAGCTACAACCGGAGTTAACTGTGCACAACACCAGAGCTTCTGAGTCAGAGATACGCCGGGCTGACCGCTGGGTAAAACTGGGTGGAACACAGAGGTCAGGAGACCTCCACAAGCCGGCAGCCGCACAGCAGACAAGCGCCACTGGGATCTGAGATGCGCAGAGCTGCCGCTGGGGAGAACTGGGTGGAAAGGTTTCCATCCCAGAGCTCCACAGCCATCAGCCCGCGCAGCAGTCAGGAGCCGCGATCAGACAGATGCGCCGAGCTGCTGGGAGAACCAGCCGGCATTCCGGGTGGAAAACATTGGTCTCCCGAGAGCTCCACAAGCCGATAGTCGGAACCCAGCTCCACCAACATGTTATATTTCAACCCATTTTCTAAAGTGCAGTATTATGTTAAATGCACTGGGTTTTACCCTATTACATTTAAATTTCATGGTTAAACAGTACATGTTAAAATCTAAGATCAGCTCGGCAGTGACGTAAAATATATAAATATAATTTAACTTACAGAAAAAATATTAAGTGGAGACTCCTTGGACGCTCTATTAGTGCAATTAATGCCACATCAAGTCATTTTGTCCAACAATTGCACAAAAAATATCCAAAACAGAATACACAAACACAGAGACTCAAAATCCCGGAGCAGTTTCCAAGCCAGACCGAGGCTCT